GGGACTGGGATATCACAGCTATTACAGAAACACGATGGGAACATGGGACTGGGATATCACAGCTATTACAGAAACATGATGGGAACATGGGACTGGGATATCACAGCTATTACAGAAACATGTCTGAGGGAGGGACTGGACTGGTTGCTCAATGTTCCGGGGTACAGATGCTATGGGAAGGATATAGCAGGGGAGGCAAGAGAGGAGGGGAGTGATGTTTTTGATGAGGCAAAACATCACAGCTGTTATTAGAGAGCATATTCCTGAGGGATTGACCAGTGAGGCTACATAGGTGGAACTGAGAAATAAGAAAGGGGGTGATCAGTTTACAGAGAAACATAGAAACACAGAAGATAGGAGCAGGAGGAGGCCATTCGGCCCTTCAAGCCTGCTCCACCATCCATCACGATCATGGCTGATCATTCAACCCAATATCCTCATCCTGCTTTCTCCCCATAACCTTTGATCCCATTTGCCCAAGTGCTATATCTAGCCATCTCGTGAATACATTCAATGTTTTGCATCAATTATTTCCTGCGGTAATGCATTCCACAGGCTCACCACTCTTTGGGTGAAGAAATGTCTCCTCATCTCCGTCTTAAATGATCTACCCTGAATCCTCAGACTGTGACCCCTGGTTCTGGGCACACCCACCATCAGGAACATCCTCCCTGCATCTACCCTGTCCAGTCCTGTTAGAATTTTATAAGTCTCTATGAGAGCCCCCCTCATTCGTCTGAGCTCTAGCGAAAACAGCCCCAACCTAGTCAGTCTCTCCTCATACGTCAGTCCCACCATCCCCGGAATCAGCCTGGTAAACCTTCGCTGCACTCCCTCGAGAGCAACAGCATCCTTCCTCAGAAAACTGCACACGATATTCCAGGTGTGGTTAATGGGATTGTACGATCGGATGCCAATAGCCAGTGGGAAATTGAGAAGGAAATATGTAAGGAAATCTCAGATAGCTGTGAGAATAATAGGATTGTAATAGTCAGGGATTTTAACTTTCTAAACATGGACTGGATCTGCCGTAGTGTTAAGGGCTTTGGTTGAGAGGAATTTGTTAAGTTAGTTCAAGAAAACTTTCTTCAGCAATATGTAATGTACCCACTAGAGAAGGAGCTAAACCTGACCTCTTCTTGGGAAATACAGCAGGTTAAGTGACTGAGGTGTCAGTGGGGGAGCACTTTGGGAGCAGTGACCATAATTCTATTAGTTTTAAAGTCGTGATGGAAAAAGATAGGCCTCGTCAACAAGTTAAAGCTCTAAACTGGTGCAAGGTCATTTTTGATAGTATTGGACAGGAACTTTGAAAAGTTGGGGAGGGGGAGAGGATGAATGGGGGAGGCTGTTGGCAAGTAAAGGGATGTCCAGTGAGTGGGAGGGTTTCAAAAGTGAGATAACTGGAGTTCAGGGACAGCCTGTTCCTGTTAGTGTGAAGGGCAAGGCTGGCAGGTGCAGGGAACCCTCGCTGACTAGAAATACACAGCTCCAGTCAACAAAAAGAAGGAAGCACAGGTCAGGTATAGGCAGCTGGGATCAGGTGAATCCCTTGAGGAGTGTAGGGGGTGTCTGAGTACACTAAAGAGGGAAATCAGGATGGTAAAAGGGGACAGTCTGGGCAGATAAGGTCAAGGAGAATCCAAAGAGATTCTACAAATACATTAAGGGCAAAACAGTAACTAGGGAGAGAATGGGGCCCCTTAAAGATCAATGAAGCTGTCTATGTTTGTTGCCACAGGAGATGGGAGAGATTCTAAATGAATATTTCACGTCAGTATTTACAGTGGAGAAAGATGTGGAATCTAAGGAACTCAGGGAAACAAATAGTGATGTCTTGAAAAGAGTCCATATTACAGAAGAGGAGGTGCTGGAAGTCTTAAAATGCATAAAGTTAGATTAATCCCAAGGACCAGATCAAGTGTATCCCAGGGCATTGTGGGAAGTGAGGGAAGAGATTGCTGGGCCCCTTGCTGAGAAATTTGTATCATCGACAGCCACGGGTGAGGTGCTGGAAGACTGGAGGGTGGCTAATGTGATGTCATTATTTAATAAAGTCTGCAAGGAAAATCCAGGGAACCATAGACTGGTGAGCCTGACGTCATTGGTGAGTAAGCTATTAGAGAGAATTCTAAGAGACATGGTCTACATCCATTTGGAAAGGCAAAGACTGATTAGGGATAGTCAGCATGGCTTAGTGTGTGGGGGAATTGTTTCTCATTAACTTGATTGAGTATTTTGAAGAGATAATCAAGACGATTGATGAAGACAGAGTGCTAGACATTGTCTGGATGGACTTTAGCAAGGCTTTTGACAAGGTACCGCATAAAAGATTGTTTGGTAAGGTTGGATCACATGGGATCCAGGAGGAGCTAGCCAACTGGAGAGAAAAATGGCTTGAAGGTAGGAAACAGAGGGTGCTGATAGAGGGTTGTTTTTCAGACTGGGGGACTGTGATCAGTGGTGTGTTGCAAGGATTGGTGCTGGGTCCACTGATGTTTATCTCTTGTATAAACAATTTGGATGTGAATACAGGAGCCTGGTTAGAGAGTTTGCAGATGGCACCAAAATTGGTGTATAGTGGGCGGTGAAGAAGGTTATTTAATAGTACAATGGAATCTTGATCAACTGGCCCAAGATACCAAGGAATGGAGTTTTAGTCAGATAAATGTGAGGTGTTGCATTTTGGAAAGGTAAACCACGGCAGCACATAGACAGTTAGTGGTAGGGCCTTGGAGAAGGCCCAGAGAGACCGAGGGGTGCAGATACATAGTTCCTGGAAAGTGGTGTCACATGTAGACTGAGTGGTGATGACAGCATTTGGCACACTTGCCTTTATTAGTCAGAGCATTGAGTACAGGAGTTGGGATGTCATGTTATGGCTGTACAAGACATTGGGAAGGCCACATTTTTCACACAGAGGGTGGTGCATATATTTCTGGTCAACCTGATATAGAAAGGCGATTATTAATTTGGAAAGGGTGCAAAAAGATTTACAAAGCTGTTGCCATGACTGGAGGGATTGTGTTTTAAGGAGAGGGTGGATAGGCTGGGACTTTTCTCTGGAGAATTGGAGGCTGAGGGATGACCTTAGAGTGGTTTATGGAATCATGAGGGGCATCGATAAGGTGAATAGGCAAGGTCTTGTCCCCAGGGTAGGGGAGTCCAACACTAGAGGGCATGGGTTTACAGTGAGAGGGGAAAGATTTAAAAGGGACCTAAGGGGCAACTTTTTCATACAGAGGGTCGTTCATGTATGGAATGAGCCACCAGAGGACGTGGTAAAGGTGGGTACAATTACAACATTTAAAAAACATTTGGTGATGTACATGGGTAGGAAAGGTTTAGAGGGATCGGGGCCAAAAACAGACAAATGGGACTAATTCAATTTGGGAAACCTGGCCGATGTGGATGTGTTGGGCGGAATTGTCTGTCTGTTTCTGTGTTAATTGACTCTATTACACTATTCACCCTCTGACAGTGCAGTGCTCCCTCAGCAATGACCCTCTGACAGTGCGGCGCTCCCTCAGCACTGACCCTCCGACAGTGCGGCACTCCCTCAGCACTGACCCTCCGACAGTGCAACACTCCCTCAGCACTGACCCTCCGACAGTGCGGCGCTCCCACAGCACTGACCTTCCGACAGTGCGGCACTTCCTCAGCACTGACCCTCCGA